TTTTTTTTTGCCAGGGCCGGGTTTAAGCCCCCCACCTCTGGCATATGGGGCCGGCGCCCTACTCCTAGAGCCACAGGCACCGCCCAATTTTTATAACCTTTCTAAGGAGCTCAGTTATCTGGTGGCCCCACCCACAACACAAGTACCAGGTGGAATCAGAGAGAACCTCCCTGTGCGGTAGGCTTGCGCATTTTACAAACACAGCTATAAGGTCAGAGGTAGCCGAAGTGAAATACCCCTCTTAAAGCCCCCGAGGACACACGGTGCAAAACTTGCTCCTAATTACCCTCCTAAGCCTAGAATTGTGAGGACTATGAGCCTCGTTTCACAGATAAGTGAACAGACCCAAAGAGGTCAAATATACTCCAAACTGCTTGCTCCTAAAGGGAGGAGTCACGGTTGAATTTGAACCCAAGTTTTCCTAGGTTTTCTTGCTGTTCGTTTTCTTTAAGCTTTGGCTGCCTCGGGTTCTGAAAGTTCTTGCTTGAAAAGGGGATGGAGGATGTACTTCTTAGTACATCATTGTTCAATTTATCAACAATATAAATGTCTAGGAGGTACTCTTTTGCAGGGGGAGAAAAAACACGGGCGGCGCCTGTAGTTCAGTGGTTAGAGCGCCGGCCCCATATAAGGAGGGTGGCAGGTTCGAACCTGGCCCCTGCCAAACTGCAAACAAAAAATAGCAGGGCGCTGTGCCGGTCGCCTGTAGTCCCAGTTATTCGGGAGGCTGAGGCAAGAGAATCGCCTAGGCCCAAGAGGAGGGAGGTTGTTGTGAGCTGTGACGCCACGGTACTCTACCAAGGCCAACGCAGTAAACCTCAGTCTCAAAAAAAAAAAAAAAAAAAATCACAACTGAGGAAACGCGGCCAATGTGGCGCTTGCATACGGAGCGCGCCCACGGAAATGAATTTCCTCCGGCAGAACTATGGCTTTAGGGTGACGGCCGTGTCGGGCAGCACGGCCGCAACCCTACACTCACTGGGCGGTTCCTCGCGCGCCGCCACGAGACCCTGGTCCTCCGGTCCCCGAGGCGCTTGGACCTCCGCCGGGGAGTAGAAAGAGGGTCTCGCGGACACCCGCGCATGTGCGCGCCGCCTCATCCACAGTCACCCTTCAACAGCCCGGGATCAAATCTTTCCGGGAACCATTCTTCCTCCCGCTCCTAGACCCACCGGCAGACTTCCGGCTGGTTGCCCTCGCAGCCCCGCCCCCGAGAGTCCGCCAATCACCGTGCTTATGGAGCCGAGCTGGGTGGGGCCTGAGAGATTCGAAAGGAGCCCCGCCCCCTGAAGGCTGATTCCCGGGACTAGGTTGTGAGAGCAAACCCTCTTCTGTGGAAGGTAAGGCGGCTCGGGAAGTGGGGACTGAAGGTGGGCTATTGGCGTGGGGTGAGTGTGGTGCACGAGGAGTAGAAATATGGTTGGGGCGAGGAAGAACCCTGGGGGTAGTAGGGGGGAGGAAGGTGGAGCGTGCAGACCTCCCGCACTGAGGAGAGTCCAGGATGCAGGGGGGCGAGAGCGCAATGGGGGAGGGGAGGTCTACACCTTTCCCGGAGATAACCGAGCTAGTTACTGGGGCAGGTGCAGTAGCGCTTGTTTTGCCTTCAGCATGGCCCCAGTGCCTGGCTTGCATCCTGAGTCTAGCTGGGACCCTTGGGCAGGATAAATAGCTGAAGAAAGATGCTGTTTCTCTCCAGCTCAGGTTTAAGCTGAGTCTTGTTCCTTTGGGCTGGACATGGAGGAGTTGGAGGAAGGTAAGGAAACTCTGGAGGGAAGAATGAGGCCTAGCCATTGAGAGTCGCATCAGGGGCCCGTGATTGACATTCATTCTTCCCCTTCAGATGTAAAGTTTATTGTTGATGAGACCTTGGACTTTGGAGGAGTGTCACCATCTGACAGGTACTGATCTCTTTATCCCACTTAATTTCCTCCAACAACACTTTTTTGTCTCTAACCCATTACTGTTGAATTTTGGGGGCCCGGGTTGGTCATATAGCAAGGTTTCATGCACTCATGTGCTGGGTATCTCCTTGTCTCTGACCTCTATGACTCTCCTGTTGAGGTAGAGAAGGGAGAAGCTGGAGTTAGATTTCTGAGTATTAAAAAGACGGGTAAGTGAATTTGCCGCATCTCCCTCCTGGCATCATTTGTGATATCAGTAAATACTAAAGGGCTATCAGGCTTCCTGGAACCAGGTCTTCCTCCTCACCTGGAGGTCAGATCTCACAGCCAGCATGAGCATCACTTCTCTGACTCCGTTGTGGGGGTTTGCCAGTCTCCCTTGCATAGCTTCCTGTTCTCTTTTATATGGGCATGGTGTCTGGTTTGTTTTCTGTCTTAGTCGTGAGGAGGAAGACATGGCAATGTTGGTGACTCCAGAGAAACCACTCCGACGAGGCCTCTCCCACAGGAGCAACCCAAATGCAGTAGCCCCTACCCCCCAGGGTATGAGGCTCAGCCTAGGCCCCCTCAGCCCAGAGAAGCTGGAAGAGATCCTTGATGAGGCCAACCGGCTGGCCACTCAGCTGGAGCAGTGTGCCCTGCAGGAGCGGGAGAGTGCAGGTGAGGGCCCAGCACCACGACGCCAGATGAAGCCCAGCCCTCGGCGGGAGACCTTTGTACTGAAGGACAGCCCTGTCCGAGACCTGCTGCCCACTGTGAACTCTTTGACTCGGAGCAACCCCTCCCCAAGCAACAGGACACCTCGACTTCGGAGCAGTGATAGGAAGGGATCTGTCCGGGCTCTTCGGATAACATCTGGGAAAAGGCCCTCCAGCATGAAGAGGGTGAGTTTAAAGGGTTGAGTTGAATGTGTACATTCAGACGCAGTTCATGACATAAGATGGGCATGGTTTCTACATTGGTAAAATTGGTAAGTAATTCTAACTCTAGAATTGTTGGAATTCATTGAGAACCATAACCAAGGCACTTACCATGGTGCCTATGCACAAGCTCTATAATATCTATAATAAGCTCTTAATAAATGGTATTGGTGATAGTGATGTGATGATGATGATGTTGGCAGCTCACTTCTGCCCTTCCTTACTGGAATCTAGACAGTTTTCTACCTCTGTTCTTTAACTCCTTAAGCCATACAACTGATACTTTCTCCACTCTAGTCCTATTTTTCTCTCTCCTTGTGTTTTAGGAGTCACCCACTTCCAGTGTATTCCCTGTGACCAAGAGCCCAGCATCTTCTCCACTTGCCCGATCGAGTCCTCCAATCCGATCAACTCCTCCAATCCAGGGGAAAGCTGGACCCAGTGGGAGGGCAGCAGCAAGTGAGAAGACCTGGAAACCCAAGCTGCAGAGGGAGTGGGAGTAGGGAGAGTGTGGAACTGACCCTGAAATTCCTCCACTCCTTTCCACCAGGCCCACCTACCCCTGTCAGACCAGTCCTGGCCCCACAGCCTTCTACCAGCAGCTCTCAACGTCTGCCTCGGCCAAAGGGAGCAGCTGTTAAATCTTCCAGTCAACTACCTGTTCCCTCAGCCATCCCCAGGCCCGCTGGCCGAATGCCACTTACCAGCCGGAGTGTACCACCCAGCAAAGGTGCCCTACCTACAGACTCTCTGTCAACTCGGAAAGCGCTTCCACGACCAAGTGCCGCAGGGCACAGAGGTGAGGAAAAGTGCACTAAAGGGTAAGAAGACAGGAGAAAGAATACCTGCCTTTGTCTTAACCTGACCTCAATCCCCCCAGAGCTGTCAGCAGTGACCACTTTTGCCAGCTTCATTATACTTCTGTTGGAAGATGGGAGACTGAGTTAAGGAGAGAATGTGGGGCTGGGCAGAGAGTCTGTGCTTCAATTTTCAAATACCTCATGGTTGAGGGAGGGCACTAATTCCAAACTCACTCTACTTTCATCCAATACAGTAGAACCTCCATACTCGACCACCTCCTTAAGATGACCTAATTATAGCCCTGATGTACACCACATGTGCATATCAATACAGTAAATCTAGTTCCTTATGTTAACCCCCTCAGTATGTTGACCAGTTTGTTATAGTTCCTTGGGTGGTCAAGTACTTCTTGAGAAGGTCAGTTGAACTTTCTACTAACTCATTTGTTTTGTTAACTCTCATTAAGTTCCTATTTCCCAGCGACCAAATATTCCCGTTATGGGTGCCACTCGCAGCAGTCTACAACCTCCCAGAAAAGTTGCAGTCCCAGGACCTACCAGGTAAGACTGGCTGTTCTTCACATCAGCCCTTAATTCTATTTGGAAAGATGGGAATGAAGAAGGGAACCTGGAGCAGGGGGGTGAGGTCCCATTTCTTATAACTCTGAAGAGCCCCAGGTGGGTGGCAGATGGGCTTGAGGAAGAAGGGCTATTTAAAGCAGTTCTACCTTCTGTCTCTTTAGGTAAAGAGATCAGGACAGCAAGCAAGAACTCAGTAGCAAACCACTACCGTCACTGCCTAGACTTGCCTCTACCCAGCAGGGATGACTTCAGTAGATTCTGGCCCAGGAACAGGAAGAAGAGATTCTGCCAGAGCTGGTCCCCCAGGAGTAGAGACACTGGGAGTTGGGATGGATTAGGGTGAGCTGGAGAAGACTTAAACTCTGAGTTGAAAGAAGATTAGGGAAAAAGAGGTCATCTTCCAGCAGTGAAATTAGCTAACAGAAAATGAGAAATGCAGGCAAGTGGCTTATCCTTATCCACCCCTACTTTTGTGGCCAGCGCCAGAGAGTTTGATCTTCTTCCCAGGCATTGGTTCACTGGGCATTTACATGTGAATGGCCTCTGAGGTTAACCTCCTGAGCCCTCTTCCTGAATTGTCCTCTACTGGACTCAAGCCTGTTTGAAGAGTCTGGAGCAGGCATTTGGTCTCCAGACTTGTTTCCTGTGAATTCTGTGACCCCTAACAGGCCAGTTTGTGATAAGCTTACTCCATCAGTCATTTTTCTAAAATAAAGCGAATGTATTTTTATATTCTCTGTGTATCTGAAAGTAGATCCTGCTCCAATTTCTAGCTAATTTGGAGTAAATCTCTGTGTAACTCCAGTGAGGGAGCCAGGATGGGGCCTCCAGGCAGCGGCCTGACTAGTCCCTAGGGCCTTGAGATTCCAGCTCATCAGACTGTGTCTGCCCGTCTTGTTGGCATTAGATGAGAACAGGCTGCCTTTCACAGGATTCACATATTATTAGAGGGTCCAGATCAAAGTATACCTTAGTTTACTGTGTGAGGCTAAGCCTAGATCTAGGTAAATTATTATTTATATCATAAATTTGAATGTCTTTTTCTGGCAAGAAAATAGCATCTCCCAGGAACTTACCAACTTTTTGTCTGCTATACTTGTAGGATGAGGAAACCCTTTGGTGGTATTTTAGCTTGCCTGGTTGCCTCATTCAGAAGATGCTGGAATACCTTATCATACTCTACCTTACATCATTAGAATTATCTGTTCTCTTATCTCCCCTATTAGACTCGAGGGCTGGCACCAGGATTTATAAACAGTGCCCCGGTGTTGTGACATGTAGGTAGCAGAACACTTCATTTCTTTATTATTTAGAAAATAGTTGCAAGATGGTGAGTGTTTGTATAATACAAAGTATGATAGACCCATTTAACAGATTCAGCTTAGGATATTTTGTTGCAGCTTTTGACTCTTGTCAATTGTAACCAGAACCAATTCAGTTCCTTGTGAGTTTTGAGGAAGCTTCCTTCTTGAAGGCCAGGTCATGACTTAAGGAAGGCAGCAGGTAACTGGATAAATGGAAGTGGGACTCTTGCCCATGCCTGTATGTCAGTGAGTGTTCTGCCCCCAGAGCTAGGGGCCTCCACCGCTTTTCTACTTCTCTGGCCAATCTTAAGGTTCATTTCATACATTCATTTCACAATGACAGCTGCATAGACATTTACCTCTCTCTGGGAAACTTGCAGCAACTCCTCTAGGCTCTGGGATTCTAAGAATTGATATAGTGAGGGCGGGGCATGAAAAAAGACACTTGAGTATTTGGTTCTGGAGAAATTTTTCATAAGGCAAGAGAACCTTGGGTGTATTTTCCAGCTTCCTCCGGCATTGGTGTCTTTTGTGCAGGTCCTGACACAAACCCAGGCAGGTCAGCAAGCCTAGGTGCATACATAGGCATGGTCCAGGGCCTGGGTGTGAGCCACAACCCAGTAGGGACATAAAAGGCAAAACAAGCAGCAGACCCGTGTGCTTTTGCCACCTGGTGGCTGGAGTGGGCAAGGCATGTCCTGCTCACCCTCCCAGTCAGCCTTGAGTCCCATTTCCACCCCACTGCCCTCCCACTTCAAACCTGCTTAAGCAGTACATTCAGTAGGCAGTGCCAGCCAGGGAGGAGGCCTACCTGCCACAGCTGCCCTTCTTGTTCTGCCACCTGCTCACTGCCTTCCCTTTGGGCCTGGCTATTTTTTCCATCTACACACTCTTCTATTCCTCCCCAGTAGCAACAAAGAAAGCTAGTGTTTATTGATCTCTTACTGTGTGCTATGAACTGTTTTAAGCACTGTATATGTGTTAACTCATTTGATCCTTATAAAAGCTAAATTAAATGAATGCTATTATCATCCTCAATTTGCAGGCAGAGAAACAGGCTCGGAGAGATTAAATCCCTCAGTCTGGTCCCAGGGTTTGTGTTCTTAATCACTACCCTTTATTGCCCCCTTGCTAATTCCCTTTGTAGTTTGTTGAACTTTAGAAACAGAAAATGTGGGACTAGCAGTAATGCTGCAGAGCACATGCTTGGCTAGAGTGTGAGTAGTGGCTTCATTTTCCAATGGGAGGGGGCAAGAAAAACAGGTTAGAACAGTGGAGTTTGGAGATACCTAGTCACTGAACAACCGTAAATTCCCACCAGCATCTCAACTAGGCATTCCCTGTCTCCTAAATTCTGCCCCAGAAAACTTGTACCTGTTGTCTAGAACTCAACCTCTTTAGTCACATCAGTCCTTTCTGTCCTGGTAGAAAAGACACCCATGTCTTCTTCTGTCTGCGGGGGGGGGGGGGAGATGACAGGGTCTTGCCTGGGCTAGAGTGCAATGGTGTCCTCACAGCTCACCATAATCTTGAAACTCCTGGCCTCAAGCAATCCACCTGCCTCAGCCTCCCAAAATTCTAGAACTACAGAGGCTACCACACCTGGCCTCACTATATATTCTTTGGAAATGCCAGGACATGGGGTCTGTGTTGATCAGGCTTTTGGGGGAGCATTGTCATGGATTTAAGTGGATGGACTACCCTATTAGCTGGTATCTGAGGTCCCCCTGACCTTGCAGGGCTTTAGGGTATGGGTTGGGGAGCTGCCTGTTTTTTTGTTTTCCAGAGACCAGGCCTCCCTCCCTGTGGGAGGATAGGGTACCACACAGAAACACATGACAGCACTCTGCCCACACAGAACTAGTTTATTCAGTAGTATGGGGAATGAAAAAACAACAAAACTCTACCATATTTACAGTAACAATCAAACTGTACAATCTGATGGTTAGTATCAAGTTAGCATCCAGCATCTTTGTTTTTTTTAAGTCAAGTCATCAGTAGTAAAAATCAGTTAAATTTTTAACCCTTTGCAGGAATTGCTGAGGGGAAAGGGCAGGGGAGAATCCATGGCAGAAAAGCCAGAGGCGAGCCTTACATGAGAAACAGGAACATTTTTTTCCCCTGTTCATAGCCTCTTTTTCTAGCCACCTGCTCTAAAAGGAAAGTCAGTGACAAGTCTGGAATACATGCTTAGAATAAATGGTGACTCAGATGAACTGCAGTTGGCAAAACCAAGGAGGAGGGGAGGAGAGGAGAGGTGGGGTGATGACAACCTGGAGCAAGGGGAAGGGCGTTAGGCCCCCAAGCCAGGGCTGCTGGGACACACCCACCCTGCAATGGCCACATCAGACCCCCTGGGACTGGACAATAACCCATCCCAACACTAAAGGCAAATAAATAAGAAATATATATTAACTCTCTCTTCTCAGGGAGCTGGGATGGAGTAAGGAAGAAAGAGGAACAGGACCTGGTCCTTTGAAGAAGAGAGCCAATTCCAAGAAGGGGTTAAAAATAGAACATGTCTCAGAGGCCACAGCATTTGGGGGGGTGGGTAAGTGGACACCAGAACCCAGAGGTAAGGCCTGTGCTCAAAGCCCCGCAGGGCAGCTGAGACAGCACTACGTTAACTCTCCCTCTCTCGCTCCCACCCACACAACAGCAAAGAAGCGCAACTGAACACGTGACTGGCCTTCCCCATGCGTGGGGCAGGCAGGAAAATGAAGCACTTTTGGGTCAGCAAACTGAGCAAACACCTGGGCTGCAGCGCGTGGCCAGAGTCCAGGAAAAGGAGAGGGGCTGGGGCAGCCTTGCCGCTCTTAGGGGCACAGGCTCCCCTCAAAATGTGTTCATGCAGCATTTGGGGGTGCGGGGGCGCTGAGTCCTTCTGTCCCCTCGCGGGACAGGGCTTTTTCAGTTCCTGGGAGAGGCAGCGGCACAGGAAGGGTGAGGCGTGCCTGTTGCCCTGACCCCTCACCATTCAGAGCCCTGCCCGGTGCAGCCTGCAGGGCTTCACGCCCTGGGTGCGCGTGGCTTCGTCCTTTCCTTTTGGTGATGGCAAATGAGGGGCAGGCCCCCCCAAGAGTCCCTCTCCTCCCAGAGGCACAGCAGATGGGAAACTGAGGAGAGGCTGGGAAGTGTCCTGGGAGGTCCTATCCTCTTTGGGAAGGGAAAGGGGAGTCAATTTCCAGCGTATAAAAAAAATTAATCCCTGAAGTCATGAAGAGTGGAGATCTTTTTTTAAATTCTTTTTTCCTCTTTTCTGAAAAACTTTGTCTTGGAGATGTTGGCCCCAGGGGTCCAAAGTGCAGTGAGGGGGATGGTGGGGGAGGGAGTTGGCACTAGATGGCCTTAGGTGGGGTGGGCACCCCTCCGGGCAAGGCCCAGGCTCCTCAGATGGACGTTTCGTCGCTGCTGCTGTGGGCAGGCGATGGGGAGCGGGCAGGATAAAGCACAAGACAGGAGCAGGCATGAGCACGGCTGGGGAGGGAGGGGGCCGCGGGAGGAGCGTGGCCCAGGGTTAATGCAGGAAGTTAAAGAAGAGAAATCTGGAGAGGCAGGAAAGGAAAGCAGCAGAAAAGGCAGACAGAGCGTTAGTTGGAACAGAGGAGACAGTGAAAGCTTTCACCAGAAGAAGGAAACAGAAAAACACCCCTAGCTCCCCATCCTCCCTCACTCTGCCCTATAACTGGGCTTTGATGCACAGAGCCAGGACAGGGTGGCCCACCCCACAGGGCACTTGGGTGTGTGGGCACATTGTAGTAAGGTAATTGGACCACGCACAGCCCACTTGTCTCTGACTGCCAACCAGAGTAGCCTAGGTAGGCCTGGGGGCAGCTCTGCAGGGCTGTACCCAGTCCCGCCCACCCATTCACACTCACTCGGAGCCTGATGAATCCTCATCCACGGTGCCTGCCTTGATGCTCATGGCGATGGGCATGACCCCATTCAGCTGCTCCTGGAGACTCTGCCGGGGTGGTGGGCGGGGAGGGGGCCCTACCCGGCTGCCCTCACTGGCTGAAGAGCCCCGAGAAGACCCTGTGCCCTGTTCCAGGGGTAGCCGGAGGAGGCTGCTCTTCTCGCTGATGGTGGGCAGACACTTCTTCTTGAGGATGCCTGTGGGTCAGGAGGGCAGATTCTGTGACATGTGGGTGGAAGGAGTAAGGGAGTGTCCCATAGAGCCTCAGCAGCCACCCAGGAATGTGAGGCATGAGGTTGCTGACTGGAAGAGCAAGCAGCTGGGGGTGCCTCACTCACCTTTATGAGGCTGGGCAGAAGAGCCTGGAAGAGGGCCTAAGGACACCTCTCGAGACAGGGCATCTCCATTCTCCCGTGGCCGCTCCTCAGGGGCCCGGTTGCCACCACTCTCCTTTGCTGTGGTCCCAAAGTCTCCCAGCCAGGGGCTCTTCCCAGGCCCTGGGCCCCCATCTGGCAGGGAAAAGAAGTAGATGAGGCCTAGAGAGGACAGACAGCTAGGAGAGTCACCACTCCAGCCTTGCTGCCTTATCCTCCCAGTGGCCCCAAATGCCACAGCCCCAGTGCTGGCCCACCCTTGGGGGTGCTGTGCAGGGGCAGTCTCTCAGCTCCAGGCCCCAGCAGGCTATCCCAGCCCTGCTCTCCAGGGAAGGCAGCCTCTTCCTCCTCTTCCTCTTCCTCACTATCTGACGAGTGAGTGGAGGCATAGGAGCCACTCTGGTCGTCCTCCAAGGACAGGTCACTGTCGGAGTCTGTGTCAGGATCTGAGAGGCCAGGGAGAGATCACAGCCAGCCCAGCCACCTCTCCCGACCCTCAGCAAAACCCAGCCAGCTGCCCCACTGGACAGCCAGGGACTCCCATCCTCACCATGCTGTTGGTCTTGACCTTCCAGGAATAGGCCACCTGGGTCCCCCAGGCCAGGAGGCCCTTGGCCAGGATTCAGTGTGGACTCCTCCCTAAGAAAACAAGACATGCTGGAAGGATCAGCTTGTGCCCTTGCCCAGAGTCCCATTCTCCTTTTTTCTGGGATCCTGGTTCCTGCCTCAGGTCCCTTAACTGCTTCTAATTCAAGCTGCCACTTGTATCAGCCACAGCGTATGTTACTCAACTCCCAGCAGCTAGCTGGCCTAGTCCAGCAGTCAAAGTCCTCTCCTCCCTTCCTCCACCCTCCCATCTCCAGGGTTCACCTCAGCAAGAAGGGGATGTAGCTGGGCTGACTCTTGCCCGAGCGGCTGGCGCTATGCAGAGAGCCGGCTGAGTCTCCGTAGGGCTGGTACAGCTGCCCATCTGTGTAGGGGCTAGGGCAGTTGTAGGACTAGGCAGGGAACAGAGAAGTCAGTAAGTTAGCGAGCAGGATGGTGTGGCTGCAGGTTGCAAGGTAGAAAGGTGGAAGGAACTTGCCCTGAGTTCTGCCTCCCACAATCCAGGTCTAAAAGAGGGATCCCCAGCTGGAACATATTCTTATGAGCAGAGTATCTCAAGAATGGAAGAAAAAGTATCCAATGTGCTCGGTCTTACTATGAAACCAATTTATAGCTTTCTTATGAAAGCTATAACCCAATTCTAGCCCAAGAAGAAGGGGAAAGAGGAGAGGGAGGGGAGGGGAGGGGAGAGGATGAGTGGAGGGAGAGTAACTGGTGGGACCACACCAACGGTGCATCTTACAAGGGTACATGTGAAATTTACTAGGTGTAGAATATAAATGTCTTAACACAATAACTGAGAAAATGCCATGAAGGCTATGTTGACCAGTTTGATGAAAGCATTTCAAATTGTATATAAAACCAGCACATTGTACCCCATGATTGCATTAACGTACACAATTACGATTTAATAAAAATAAATAAATAAGAAAGGGCATTAAAAAAAAAAAGAGGGGGCCCCATATCTTTCTGTCCCCACACTGGTGTCTGGCAGTAGTCAGCTCCATCTCAGTTGCATCAACCCTGCACACCCCAAGTACCCCAGACCTGCTATTTAAGGGCTTGTGGTAAAAGACAGTACCAGGAATTGTCTCCTGAGAGCATCCTCGGAGACAAAATTTACCAAAACTCATGAGGAAATTGTCAAGTGCAGGGTATTCACTACCTGATTACTTGTTTCCAGCCCCATCTCCCCCAAAGTCAAAATCCTACACCCCTCACAGTCTCCTCCATAGGCCACATGTATCATTTCACCACTCCTCCTCCTGGGGAAGGATGGAGGGATGGTGAGAAGGAAGGAAAGAGGGTGAAGCAAAAGTACAAAGAACAGGCTCCTTGGGCTGCCTGACCCTCCCCCCAGACCCCTCCGCCTCTCCAGCCCCTGGCTCCCTCACCGACGTCAGGGTGGACTTAGTGGTCAGAGCAGGGTCAGGGCTGGGCTTGCGGCTGCAGGCGAACTTGAGTGCTTTCCGGACCTCCTTGCTGAGCACCACGTAGGAGAGGAAGATGAAGGGACCCTGGCAGGCAAGAGGCAGCCACAGTTAAGCATGCTCAGGGGCCCCACAGTCATGCTTGCCCCTCTCCCCAGCCAAGCCAAATACCTGGATGCAATTGCAGGCAGCAAATAGATAGTGGAAGAGGAGAGTGTCACTGTTGACGGAGAGCAGGGCCAGCAGCCACGTGGCACTCAGCAGCAGGAGGACAGCGAAGGAGGGCCGCAGGCCCATACTGGGGAGTGGGACAGGCTGTGAGTCTGGTCACAAGGCCTCCCACACTGGTGCCTGCCCACTGCCCAGGCACCACCCCCCCATACTCACACAGGGCCTTTCTTCTCAAAGCCCTGCCGCTGGGCAGCACAGGAGGCCCGGGCCGCCAGGATGTACAGGAAGACACTCATCTAGGTGGGGAGAGACGGGCAGGAGGGGATCACCAGGGAACAGGCAGCTTCAACCCCACCCCATGGTGCTCTGGGGCCTCATAGATCGTTTTAGGAGCCTCTTTCTAAAGAGGATCCTGAGAATACTCTCAGCCTACTCTCCCACTTCCTAGCACTTACAGAGACAGCAAAGGCCACTGGGCCAGCAAAACTCCAGATGAGCGTATCGTAGATGGAGAGCCAGCAGAAGTCGGGGTTCCCATAGCCTTCAGGGTCCAAGCCTACAGCAAGACCTGGCAGCATGCAGACAGCAGCAAGAGGACAGGGGTCAGGGGCCTGGGAAGCAGGGCTGTGGGCAGGCTCAGTGAGGAGCATGGAGAAAAGTTCTACCCACCATCTGCCCATGCCATCCTCTCCAGGATGGGGACCAATCCCTGGGTGGGGGCCGCAGGGCCTGGGCTGGGGGTGAGATACCTGTGATGAAGGCTGGTACGCCCCAGCCCAGCATGTAGTAGAAGCGCATGGGGCCAGCATTGACATCTCGCACCTCAGTGAGCGCCCGGTACAGGTGCAAGGCCTCCAGCAGTGCCCAGGAGAAGGTGCAGAGGTACAGGAAGTGCAGTAGGATGGCGATGACTGTGCAAGCAAACTGCAAGCCGAGGCCGTGCAGGGTCAGTGCTCAGGGCACACCCAGAGCATGGGGCTCTGCTTCAGGTCGGGCAGGGGAGCAGGGCCTGGTGTTGGGAGCTGCTTCAGGAAATCTAGGCCAGAGAGGTCTCTGGGATACTGGGAGAGTCAGGGGGAGCCGGAGAAGAGGACACTGTGGGCCAGAGGCTGGGCTCGGCTTTTTACCAGCTTTAGCACTGCAGGAACAGGGATTTGATTTCACGTGAGGGCTGGGAAAATCCACCCAGGGAGCCTGAGAGGGCTGGAAGTTGGGAGAGGTCTCTTGGCAGTAGAGGCACTTACAGGCAGGTCAGCCTGGTTGATTCCTAGGAGGAAGACCAACTGAGCCAGGCCCAGGGCAGCTGTCAGGTTCCGACGGATGCCATGCTGGTTGGAGCGCAGGGCACGCAGGAGAGTGAGGAAGCAGAAGGTGAGCAGCAGGGCAGCCAAGGTGACCCCTAGAGCCACAAATGTCAGGGTCTTCAGCGGCAGGATCTCCCCATTCTACAGGGTGGATGGCAGGGGGCCAGGAGATTAGGAAGGACAGGGCCGAAGTACCCAGCCCAGGGCCCTGGGCTCCCACCCACAGCTCTGCAGCTGTCCCTGGTGGGTCCAACCTCCCGTCGGGACACATCCATGAGCACAGCGAAGCTTGTCATGTGGTTGCACTGGCAGCTGACGTGGCTCTCATTCCGGAAGACGACTTCACAGCCTCGGGCTGACCAGCCACCTGTGCCACTGACCCTACATGGGGAAGGCATGGTCAGGGAAACAAGGACAGTGGGGCACTCAGGGGCTGGGCTTTCAGGCGTGAGGGCAGCATAGGCTCACAGGATTGAATGGTTCCAGAAGACACAGATGGGCTTGGTCCGCTCCTCCGTCTCCAGCAACCGGAACTGCACTGTGACTGGCTTGTCCAGGGCTCGAGGCAGAAGCTCCTCATCGTCATGGACACTGACGCTCACCACGGGCGTGTTGATGACCGGGCGTTTGGGGACTCTGAAGGGCAGGTGCACAGTTACCGCAGCAGGAGTATGGCTGGGAGATGCTCCTCTGGGCTCCCTCTGGGTCTCAGCACACACCTCCAACCCACACCCCCATTCACCCCTTGGCTGCTAGCTACTGACCTCAGGCTGCGCTTGTCTGGGTCATAGTTGTGAGGCAGGAGCCCGGCCAGGGTGCGGTAGATGATAACACTGGCCACAGCCTCACCCTGGCTCAGCTCTGGGTGCCGCCGTTGCCGCCGCGCCAGCTCCTCCAGCTCCTGGGCCTCTCCGGGGCCTGCAGCCCTGACCATGGGGGGTGTCTCTGGGAGCAGAACACTGCCACACTCAGCTGGGCCCTGCCCTCTGTGGAATGTGCACAGACAAGTGGGACCCAGCCCTTGGCCCCCACTGACCTCTGAAGACAGACTCAGGCAGAATAACCGTTGTCTCAAGGTCCAGGGGCCGTTCTCCACGCAGAGCCTCATAACGGGGCAGCTTGGCCCCAGCGAAGTTCCCTTTGTCCAAGCGCACTACAGAGATGACTGGGAAGAGGGTGGTCATAGGTCATACCAGTAAGGAAGGCAGGCTCTGGCATGGCCGCCCTTGAGGGGTGCTCTCTCCACAAATCCCTCCCGACCCAGGCAGCAGCCTCACCGATGTTGGGCGTGATGATGGTGAAGGGGCTTAGATAGGTGTGCCGCATGTTCTGGGCCAGGGCGCTGGCGTAGGCCTCATAGTGCTGGAGCAGCCAGGCAGTGCCACCCTCTGTCTGCTGGATCAGCTCCCAGTGCCGTTTGTTGGCTGCATCCAGGAGGGCGCTGCCCACCCGTAGCAGATTCTAGGATGGGCACACAGTGGGTGTGCTTGCAGCCCCCACCTATCATCCCCACCCGCAAGGTCCAGTCTGTGGCCAGACCAGGCCCCATTCCCCACCCACCATGCCCTGCCTTGTCAACATTCACCACTGCCTACCTTGACAAGCCCCCTGGGCCACACTGCCCACTTTGATCACCAATGCTCGCCTCTAACCTTCCTCCTCACTCTCTAAAGAAGACCTTTCCAGCCCCTGTGATTGGACCCACACAAATGTCCTGAGGAACTACTCCTTAGTACCATACGCAAGCCTCTCCAAACATTATTTTCTCTGGATGCCCCAATATGAAAAGGATTGGGAAGAGGTACTGAGCCATGGTTCATGGGATCTCACAGAAGCCATGGGCCAAGTAAGAACTCCCTGAGGGTGGGTAGAGAGTGTCCCTACTCCACCCCCCAGGTTGCCAGGAGCAGGCTCACTCACCATGACCCTCACCTAACCAGCCAGCCCAGCCTCCTCCAAGCCCCACCTCGGTGAAGTGCACATCCTGCGTGGCAGACAGCCCAAAGCCCCGCTGGGCACTCTCATGGGCCAGAAGCCGCGTGGCCAGCTGGTAGGCCACCTTGACATCACTGCCAAAGTAGCCAGCTGTGTGCTGTGTGGCATTGCGCAGAAGCAGGGCCAGCCGCTGAGAGCGCCCTGCGTCCAGGCCTGACTCGTTCCGCTGCAGCCGCTCAGCCTAGATGGAAAGTGTGGAGGACAGGGGTCAGCACAGGGGGGTCAGCAAAGGGGAGAAACGGTCTCTCCAAGTGGAGGCCCCAGGAACACAGAGGGTGGGATTCCAGAATCCCTTTTCTCAAAGATGGGACTGAGGGGTAGTGAGGCTCTTGGTGGGGAAGGAGAGGGAAAAGATGGAGATGAAGGATCCACTTACGAAACCCTTCAGCTCTGAGAAGGTGGTTGACGTGCAGTTGAAGAGGTTTGGGGGAAGCCAGCCCCTGTGTTCATCACAGTGGCGCACAGCGGTTCCTGAGGGAAGGAAGCCAAGAGGGCTGGACTCAGGGAGACACATAGGAGGCCCCTAAGACCCGGCTGAGAGGTTCTGTCGCAGCCCAGCATCTCCTGGACCAGAGACAGGAGACAAAGGATGTGCCCTCATGCAGCCTGAGTAAAACAGGAAGACGGGTGTATAGAACACTAGAGCCAAAAAGTTCTGCAAGATGGGTCCAAACAGCTATAGGAGCATGTGCTATGTAGCCTCTTTGAACCTCCAGACAGTGATGCTCCCCTCTGGCCACCACCTGTGCTCTCTGCCACTCTCTGCCTATGGATGCTGCTTACTGCCAATCCAAAGGGGCTGGGGCTGGGTCCCCTGGAATAGTACTCAATACCCTCTACTCCCCAGACTTTCTGGTGGCATAATTCCAATGCCAGATGGTAAGCTGAAGATGGGACTCCTGTGTGATTCATCTTTGCATTGCCCATTCCCGTACAGAGGCATTTTTATTTTTTTAGAGAGTGGATCTTGCTACATAGCCCAGGCTGGAGTGCAGTAAGGCAATCATAGTTCACTGTAGCCTCAAATCCCTGAGCTCAAACGATCCTCCTGCCTCACCCTCCCAAACGGCTAAGACTAAGGTGCACATCACTACACCCAGCTTTTTTTTTTTTAATTTTTTACAGACAGGGTCTCACTATGTTGCCCAGGCTGGTACTGAACTCCTGGCCTCAAGTGATCCACCCAACTCAGCCTCCCAAAATGCTAGGATTACAGATGTGAGGCACTGCTTCTGGCCAATGTTCAGCAATTTTGTTAAAAGTCCAAGAAGCAGGGATGCCTGGGACACCTTGGAAGAGGGGGAACAGTGAGCCAAGGAAGACAGGACATGGAGTCTTTAGGACTTGGACACCAGAAAGCAGGGTCCTCCATCAGCAGCCAGGAGCTTCCTGCCCTCACCACACTGATGGTAGAGGCCACATCCATGATATCACATCCAGGGCCACCAACTTACCAAAAGAGCCTTTGGGGCAGGGGGCAGCAGCAGGTAGCCCAAAGCGAGTACGGGGCCACCATATCCCAGCCTCAGTCGCCCGTGGGCAACTGTCATAATTCACTGCAGAGAAGAATACACAGTCACCCCAGAACAGCTACCCCTCTGAAGCTCTATCCAGGCTCCCCAACCCTCCCTCAGCTCCTCAGGCCTCCAACCATCCCTGGTTTCCCTGGGATGCTGGGACCTGGCACACAGCTGAGAGAGCTTCCCCGCCATGATAGGAGCCCCACCTTCACAGCCATTGGTGGTGACCTCAGCAAAAGGGTTGTCACAGCGGTCACACTGGCGCCCAATGACACCTGGCTTGCATGGACACTGGCCGTCCTCAGGGTCACAGACTCGGGACAAAGAGCCTGTGGGGTAGCAGTCACAGAGGAGGCAGGTGGGGCTGCCAGGGGGCCGGTAGTGGTTTTCCTGGGAGAGAGGAGAAAGGAAGGGTGCTACTGGCTCAGGCTCTTGGCTCAGGATGCTCAAGGATCGTTTCAGCTGTGGCCCCTCTAAAGAGAGGATCCCTGACCTCAGGTCCCCTCAGGAGTAACAATGATTTGAAACTGAATCCATCAGTGAGATACCAAGCAACCCAAACAGGCTGCAAACAACCTGTATAGCTGGCCCAGAGCTTACTGGTCCCTCTGCCTCCCAGACAGGCGAACAGTCATGTGCCCTCCCACTGCAGCAAAGGTACACAGCTCTCAGCTCCCTGCATAAAGGCCCATCTCTACTGCCTCCCTGTAAGGCCCCAGAGCTGTAGACAGAGGCCCAGGCAGCCAGAGTGGAGGCCTTGTTAGGGCTGTTACCTTGCAGTGACACTCGCCACTTGTCTTGTTACAGTCTGGGTCAAAGCCTTTGCTGACATCACAGTTGCACGGGCCACATGTGGGATGCCCCCACCAGCCACGGGGACAAGGCTGGTCAATCCTGTAGAAAGCAGACCAGGCAGTAGTGAGCTCCCTCCACCACCTAAGTTAGCCACATGTGGTTCTTCTGACCCTGGTAGTGAGTCAGCAAGGCTTATGGGGCTCTGAGGGACACAATGAGATGAGCTGCAGCCACTGGGACCTGCTGCATGCCCT